GCTCTCAGCAACAGTTGACGTGGTTACGGTTACATGGTCCAGCCATGTGGTAGCGGCGTACGCTATGACGTCACTGTTCGATCACGAGTTAACGCGTTTCGTCACACGACTTCATCTGAGGGTGTGATCAGCAGGCAGACATACGGTCTCTTATAGAGCCGCTTGCACTCCTATAGGTCAGCTTAAATTGATGCGCTGCCGCCATCTAATGAATGAGCACATAATGGCATATACTCTACTGATTTGCCTAAAATATTCTTTTTATCAGGAGGGGAACCAAACCATTACTCCCTATTGCCATCTTGTGTTTCAAACAACCAATCGGCAGTGAAAAATCTTTGAAAGGTGACTCGCAATAACACAATAAATGGAACTCATATAACAAATATACAATAATATAAAAACAATTATATAAAAATTAAATAATTCATAAATTAATAATCACTAAATATAAATTCCCCTAAAAATCCCCATCATGTCCAAAAGGCCATGAAGGAGAGGCAGGTGCTCACAGGCAGCTAAGAGAGGGCAAGCAGTGTCCACAGTGAAAAGTGGTGGTCGTGGACATGGTGTATCCTCTGCAGGCAGGGCACGCTTGTCCTTTTTTTTTTTTTTTTTCCGATGCTGGGCGTATTTAATATTGAGCCACAACATGCAGAAGAGGTGATGGAGTGGATAACTAAGCCATCCTCATCCTCCTCATCCTCTGTCACCCAGGCTCATAGTATTTTGTCTTCCACCGCAGCTGCCAAAGTGGCCTATTCCACAGGCTCCTTGTCCACCACAGCTGCTCCTTTCGTAGCCCACCATCATGCATGGAGGAATCACCAGAATTATTTGCTCATAGTGTCAGTTACATGTTGCTGGAGGATGTGCAGCAATTTGAATGCTCCGATGTTGGTTCCCCAGGTTGAGGAAAGGAGTGATGTGAGCCTAGAGAGAGGGGGTGCCAGTGAGGGAAAACAAATTGGCAGTCATGTTCCCCCAGCTGCAGCACACTGCCAAATTGGCTCCAATGACGAGCAAGACTGTGATATTGAGTTCACTGACTATACTTGCGTGCCTGAGAGAACAGAGGAGGAAAGTGAGGAGGAGTCAGAATTCCAATGAGGCAGGTTGTCCTCCAGGGGCAGGCGTAAGGGCAGCCAACTGATGACATCACACAACAGCGCTCCACAGGTGCAGGGTGCTGCTGACTCCTGGCAGACTCCCAAAAGTTCTCTGGTGTGGGCTTCCTTCAACACATGTGCAGCAGACTGCAGCATTGCTGTTTGCAGTCTCTGTCTGAAGCAGATCAAGCGTGGCCAAAACACCAGCCACTTGGGCACCACATGCTTGACTAGACATATGATGAGCTTCCATGCAGCCCATTGGCAACAGCACCTGAAAGACCCACATCTGAAAAAAGTGCAGACTTCTTCTTGCTCCTCATCTGGGGTCTCTACCTCTACTGTATAATGTCAGGTCTTCTCAACAGCCTCCACTGAGAGGAGTGATGGTACAGCAGTGAGTGCCACAGGCCCTGGCACCCCATCTAATGGCAGTACACCACTTATTGATTTCAGCAGGCAAATTTTGCTGAACCGTAAAAAAAAAACCTGTCCCACCCATCCACATGCTCAGTGTCTAAATGCTAGCCTGGCCAAATTGCTAGTGTTACAACTGCTGCCTTTCCATCTGGTGGACTCTGCCTCCTTCCATGAATTTGCAGAATGTGCTGTACCACAGTGGCAGGTTCAGGAAAACACAATTCTTTTCACGTAAGGCCATTCCAGCTCTGTACCATCATGTGGAAGGCAATCTTTTGGCCTCGTTGGACAAGGCGGTCAGCAGCAAGGTCCATATTACTGCTGCTGCCACGTGGTCTAGCAGGCATGGTCAGGGACACTACATATCCTTTACGGCGCACTGGGTGACTCTGCTAGCAGCTGGGAAGGATGAAGGACAGGGTTCAGTGCTGGAGGTTGTTCTGCCACCACGCCTCCAAAAAGCTAGTGGTGATTCTGCCACATCTGTTTGCTCCACCCCCTCCTCTTCCTCTGCCTCTATGGCCTCTTCTGCTGAATTGTTTGAACCAGCAGTGCCCTGTAAGCGTTCAAGGGGCTACGCGGTGATTCAGCTTGTCTGTCTAGGGGACAGGAGCCACACCGTCCAGAGATTTTGTCAGCTCTGCAGGGGCAGGCTCAGAGGTGGTTGACGCCATAGCAGCTTGAGCCAGAAATGGTTGTATGCGACAATTGCTCCAACTTTTTCTCTGCCCTCCGACAGTACTTACTGGCGGCACTGACTGGTGGCACTGATATGCAGCACCGATGGGCTGCAGTGTTGGGTACTTTTGGGCTGCACTGACTATCAGTGCAGATGTCTCCTGTGACAATTGCCAGTTATCGGCTGTACTTTCCTCAGGCTGTAATAGCGTGAAAAAGTACTGCTGATAGCCAGCAACTTTATTTACTTTGTGATCAGCTGTGTTATTGGACACAGCTGATCATGTGGTAAAAGACTACTGTGATTGGCCTTTAATCATGCCGCATGATAAGCTGTGTCCTTTGGATACAACGATCACAGACAGCAACACTGTTCCGGGGGGGGGGGGGGTGTTCTGGGATGAAAGTCATATGATGCTCTCCCCAGAACTGGACAACCGCGCTGTAGCTGTCATTCGGCTATAGCGCGGTAAATAAGTGGTTAAATTGAGGGTGCCAAATGTTTTGTCCATTCCATTTTTGGGGGTTTTTTTTGTGTCACCAATACAAACAAAAGAAATAAAAATGAGAATGCCGAAAAATTTATAATTGCAACAATTTTCTGGGTGAAGTGGTGCGTTATCTGACAGAAATGCAGGAAGGGGGGGGAGAAGATTTTTGGCCATGGCTGTATGGGGCTGTCACAAAGAGCTGTCTTCACCAGGAGTAAAATTGTACAAAAAAAAAAAAAAAACCTCAAAACTTCCTGACCACTAGCCGGCATTTGGAGATGAATAGTCCGGGCTGCAACCCGAACAGCCGTGGAATGAAGCCAAGACCTTACTAAGTACACAGACACCCCATGAACATCTACAAGCTCCACGTCTCCTCTGGCAATGAGATGTTTTGGGGCTCTTTTTTGGACTCCACCATTATTCAGAGACAAAACATATCAGTGGCAGAGTAGACAAGAGATGTGAACGATGGAAAAATGTGTTTCCTTTGGGATTTCTCCGTTAAGTTAATAATTTTGTTTTGTCATATTCGTTATGTTAGAAGAATTCATTTTCAGAATTTGTTTCATATATTTGTTATAAGTCGATTCAAAATTAAAATGTATTCAAAATTAAACTTTTTGGAAGACATCTATATTTTCTCTATTTTATTCTATTCATTTTCTATTCTGGTCTACTCTTTTATTTTATATTCTATTCTATTCATGGGTTTATTTTTCTTTTCTATTGCTAAGTAGTGATGGGCCGAACACTCCCCTGTTTGATTCGTGGTCAAACCTACAGAATGTTTGACCTCAAACTTCAAACACGAACTGAACAACTAAGTGGTATCTTATTACATCAGAGTATGTGGTCAGATCCAGCTCAGTTACTAAAATCCGGCATGAGTCATATTATGAAGTCACGCGGTATTTTAGTAGTGAAACATTCATTCATGTTTCAGCTGTCAGTGGGGTTCCCTGCTGACAGCTGAATGTCAAAAGAATTGTCGGCATCACCCGACAATTACATTTAAAAAAAAAAGAAGAAAAAAAAAACATTGTGGGGCCCCCCTCCTATCCTTAGTGAATGCGGGGTCCGGGGAGAGCAGATATAGTGAATGAGGGGTCCGGGGAGAGCGGATATAGTGAATGCGGGGGCCAGGGAGAGCAGATATAGTGAATGCGGGGTCCGGGGAGACCAGATATACTGAATGCAGGGTCCGGGGAGAGCGGATATAGTGGTTGCGGGATCCGGGGAGAGAGGATATAGTGAATGCGGGTCCGGGGAGACCAGATATAGTGAATGCGGGTCCGGGGAGGGCGGATATAGTGAATGCGGGGTCCGGGGAGGGCGGATATAGTGAATGCGGGGTCCAGGGAGGGCGGATATAGTGAATGCGGGGGTCCGGGGAGACCGGATATAGTGAACGTAGTGTCCGGGGAGAGTGGATATAGTGAATGCGGGGTCCGGGGAGAGCGGATATAGTGAATGCGGGGTCCCGGGGAGAGCTGATATAGTGAATGCGGGGTCCGGGGAGAGTGGATATAGTGAACGTAGTGTCCGGGGAGAGCGGATATAGTGAATGCGGGGTCTGGGGAAAGTGGATATAGTGAATGCGGGGTCCGGGGAGGGTGGATTGGATATAGCGAATGCGGGGTCCAGGAGAGCGGATATAGTGAATGCGGGGTCCTGGGGAGAGCGGATATAGTGAATGCGGGGTCCGGGAGAGCGGAGATATAGTGAATGCGGGGTCCGGGGAGAGCGGATATAGTGAATGCGGAGTCCGGGGAGACCGGATATAGTGAATGCGGGGTCCGGGGAGACCGGATATAGTGAATGCGGGGTCCGGGGAGACCGGATATAGTGAATGCGGGGTCCGGGAGACCGGATATAGTGAATGCGGGGTCCAGGGAGAGTGGATATAGAGGAATGCGGGGTCCGGGGAGACCGGATATAGTGGATGCAGGGTCCGGGGAGAGAGGGATATAGTGAACGTAGTGTCCGGGGAGAGTGGATATAGTGAATGCGGGGTCCGGGGAGAGCGGATATAGTGAATGCGGGGTCCGGGGAGAGCGGATATAGTAAATGCGGGGTCCGGGGAGAGCTGATATAGTGAATGCGGGGTCCGGGGAGAGTGGATATAGTGAACGTAGTGTCCGGGAGAGTGGATATAGTGAATGCGGGGGGTCCGGGGAGAGCGGATATAGTGAATGCGGGGTCCCCTGGGAGAGCAGATATAGTGAATGCGGGTCCGGGAGAGCGGATATAGTGAATGCGGGGTCCAGGGAGACCCGGATATAGTGAATGCGGGGTCCGGGAAGAGCGGATATAGTGAATGTGGGATCCGGGAAGAGCGGATTATAGCGAATGCGGGGTCCGGGGAGGGCGGACATAGCAAATGCGGGGTCCGGGGAGAGCGGATATAGTGAATGAGGGGTCTGGGGAGAGCGGATATAATGAATGCCGGGTCCGGGGAGAGCGGATATAGTGAATGCGGGGTCCGGGGAGAGCGGATATAGCGGATGCGGGGTCTGCGGAGGGCGCATATAGCGAATGCGGGGTCCGGGGAGGATGGATAGAGTGAATGCGGGTACATAAAACAAAAAAACTATTGCGCTAGATGCGTGATGAAATCTGAACTGAAGATAATTATAATAAATGCTGCCACTTTCTATACAAATTAATAAGATCAACAAAAAAACCTTCAAAGTGATTTAGTAGCGCAATAAATATATATATGTGCATATACTATAAATAAATAAATAGTGATCATTGAACATATGTGAAAAACTGAAAGTCCATTAGAAAATCCTTTTCCACTAAATGAATCTTCCAATTCCCAAAGGATCACCACGTGCAAAAAGATGGTGTTCCCCCTTTCAGGTGTGCGCTCACACAGATAGCAATGCCTCCCATTCTCATGGTTGGCTAAAATCGCTTATTAAAGTGGATCCAAATGGGAAGGAGATCAGCCAAAATGGATATTAACACACTCTGCTCATCCTCCAATTGCCATGATCAGCTGTCACCACTTCATAGGATATAACAATTTCCTAATAAAGAGGAACTTATAGCAACCTGGACAATACTCTCCTTCTCCTTAATCTCTCACTCAGGATTAGTGGTCATGAGGAAACAAAACAGATGAAACCCAATGGTGCAGTACAGAATGACACCTTTACCCCCTTCCTGTCCAGGCCAATTTTCAGCTTTCAGTGCTATCACACTTTGAATGACAATTGAGCAGTCATGCAACACTGTACACATATGAATTTTTTTTTTTAGACCGATAAAAACTTTATTTTGGTGGTATTTATTCACCACTGGGTTTTTTTTTTTTTTTTTGCTATATAAATGCAAAAATGTCCACAAATTTTGAAAAAAAGTCTTTTTCTTATAAAATTTTGCAAATAAATAATCTTTCTTCATAAATTGTGGCCAAAATTTAGTAAATTTTTTTAGTAAAAAAAAAACCCAAATTAGTTTATAACCATAAATTATAATTTTTCAAAAAAAAATTTGACATTTTTAATTTATTTTTTATTTTATTAGTTATTTTTAATTTTTTTGCATACTGTCACCCTAGCAGTACAGTGTCACCATGGTGACAAAGTACTACTTGTGGGGGTGATGAAGATTTTTTTACACCCATAAAGGCTGTAAAAGCAATAATTTCTCCTCTCTGGCTGCATTCTTGCAGCCATTGAGAAATACTGTGTGAGCTGTGATTGGTCACAGCTTGTCACAAGGTACAAGGCTGTTGTGAATAGCCCCTGTACCATGTAATCTCTGTGATCATTCACACATTTCACACGTAGTAAGCAATGATGTCAGAAGTGACATCCTGCTTACTACTCTTCATGTGGTCACTGACTGGCCAATCAGTGATCACATGATCGGGACCTCACACAGAGGTCCTGTACAACGTTCGGTGTTCCACTATGTCCAGAGGAAACAGCGGGCACCGGATCGCAGTGCTGCGTGCTTCCAAGGAGGTGCGCACAAGCAGGGAGCGGGGAGGCCGTTTATATACATGGGCCGGATGAGAAGTGGCTAATTGCTATAAAGACGGCCACTTACAAAATATAAGTAGATAAAAAGCCCATAGGTAATTGCAGTCAGCTCAAAAGCACTGGTGGGTATCAAGGCAATGCTCTCCCCACCGCCGGATCCCAAACAATGGCGCTCCCGGTTGTCACTTCCGGTCGTTGCACAGCCTTGCCCTGATGCATTTCGTCATATTCGACTTAGTTAATAGGGATCCCTGTGCACTTTGTTCCAAGAGCTTAATAAATGAGTAGAAGCTCCGCATGACTTCCCATTATCCATTCGTGCGCAAGCAAAGGTGCTTTATTTCAATTTTCCTTGCACATGATTGGGTATTCCTTGCAAAGTGAATATTTATCTCATTTACAAAGCTCTGGAGCAATTGCTCTTTCAGAGTGCAACTACAACCTTGTATGGTGCACAGCCTATTTGCCTTTAGTAAGTCATCCCCCATGTGTGAGTATAATTTTTTTATTCCTTTCATTATCAATAAAATGCATTATCGGCACTGTCTAGTGCACCTAATGTTTCTCTTTTTGTGCGGAGCTCACTGTGTACCTGATACTCGCAGAGTAGATGTAGTGGAGTCAGAATCTGAGTGAAGATAAACAAAGCAGCAATAGTTCCCTTCATCTGTGATCTGAATGTTGGGTATGGAAAGACTGGCATTGCCTTGTTGGAGGTCTTTGTCATTCATGTGAGATCCAGGGATCCTCAATGGTGTATGTTGGTAACTATGAAAACCATAACCTCACGTCCCAGTTCCAGTTTGTGTATCTGAGAGTCCAGCAACTGATAGGTTTTCTCTAGATTCAGCGGTATTGGGACACCAGACAGCAGACAAGGGGATGAGTGACATCTTCTCCTCTAAGGGCTTCAGTAGGACCATCTTTCCTAGAAACTGTCAACCTTCGAACCTGAAAATCACCTAAAAATTAGAACAAAAAAAAGAGTGATGACAATTGTACAGGATCACTTGTGACCAGAGGAAACTAAACTGCTAACGTAATCCAGAATAAGAACACTGCAATGGCACCCAAACCAAAACCACTTATGGACCCCCCCCCCCCCGCCTGCAATGTACTGTGGACAGGCAGGGCCATGCACAGCAAAGCGACATACTAGTCTGTCACTGCCTGCTTTTGGGTTTAGGGAGCACGCATTGAGCGCCCCCCCACCACCAGCACCTGCTGTGATTGTACACAGCGAGAGTCTGTTAGCAAGTCCGACTGGTTCCACGACATGATTCAGGACTGGGACCTGCTGATCAGCTGTGTCCAATCACAGCCCAGAGCTCTGTGTTGATGAACAATCTGTACACGGAGAAAGATATGTGGTTCTTATTCCTGCAAAGCAGGGATGAGAAACAAAGATCTGCTAGTAAAAGCAGCACATTAATACACACATTAACCATTGTTGGGTCACACATATTATATCCCCTTGATCACCCCCTAGATGTTAAACCCCTTACCAATTTTGGTCTTTTTTGTATCGCAAAAAATAAAAAACCCAGTAGTGGTCAAATACCACCAAAAGATAGCGCTATATGTGTGAAAAAATTTAATAAATTTAATTTGGTTACAGTGTTTGCATGACCGTGCAATTACCAGTTAAAATAGTGCAGTGCCGAATAGCAAGAAATGCCCTGGGGGTAAAACCTTCCAGGGGGTAAAAAACCTTCCAGAGATCAAGTGGTTAGACCGGGATCCAGCAAGGTGCTTTGACAATGGAATCAGTAATGGTAACCCTCCAGTATGCTTCAACCTGAGGTTCTACACTCCTATAACCCCTCTGAATCCAAGATGTGCTGCAGATGCAATCAGTTGGCGTTCTCTTTCATTATATTCTGGCTGTGCCCCGTGATTCAGCCCTTTCTTCTGGAGAAGGTAGAAGATTTACAGTGTCAAGTCTAGATAGGAGGGTTACTCCACTTGGACCGTGTCCTCAACCTTCTTGGCCGCCCTTTCACAGAAATACCCAAAACCTCTAAAAAATTGACCACCACCCATTTGCCTAACAGAAGCTAGGTACGAGACCTATCCCTCTCCACTGGAGGACAACTGTTGTCCTTTCTCAGGGACAGACCTACTGGATACAGTTATGGAAATTAGGAGGATGGAACATCTGATGGATAACATTTGGGATAGACTGGAGAACATCCTCTCAGATATGGGCACTGTGGGGGATCAGCCATCTTTTAGAGCTTTCTTTTGGTGGTATTTAATCACCACTGGGGTTTTTTATTTAATGCATATATAAACAAAAAAATACTTAGAATTTAAACAATTTTAAGTAACAAAAAATCAGTTTTTCTTAATTTGTTATAAAATTTTCAAGCAAAACTTCTTTCATCATAAATTTAGACCAAAATGTATTCTGTTACAGCTCTTTGGTAAAGATACCCCAAATCAAATCAGTGTTTATTCTTTAGTCTGTACCAAAGTGATAGAATCTACAAACTTTGAGATATACAGTACATTTGAAAATTGATCCATCCTGCTGTTCTGACCAGGGTAGACTGACCATTTGGAAATTTCGGCACTGCCCCGAGGGCCCGGGGTCAGTAGGGGGCCCCATGAGATGCCCCTGGTACCTTTTTCATAAGCTTTTTTGAGTTTGGCCAAGGACACAGGGGCCCCATGACCCCCTATTGCCCGGGGGCCCCATGAGTTGTCAGTCCGCCCCTGGTTCTGATGTTGGGTTTCAAATCTTGAGGCCCTAAAATGTCAGGATAGTACAAATACCCCCTAAATGTCAGAATAGTACAAATAACCCCCCAAATGTCAGGACAGTACAATACCCCCAAATGCCAGAATGGTACAAATACTCCCCAATTGCTAGGACAGTGCAAATACGCCCTAAATGTCAGGACAATACAAATAGCCCCCAAATGCCAGGACAGTACAAATCCCCCCAAATATCAGGAAGGTACAAATCCCCCCCAAATGTCAGGACAGTACAATACCCCCAAATATCAGGACAGGACAAATACCGTATATACTCGAGTATAAGCCGAGTTTTTCAGCACATTTTTTGTGCTGAAAAACGGCCCCCTCGGCTTATACTCGAGTCAACGTCTGCAGATGGCTCCCCCCCCCTTCCAACAGAAGGGAAACTACGGTAAGTACAGGGGTGGGCAGGGGGCTGCTGTCTCTTACCTGGCTCTGGTCCCACGACGATCTGGTCCAGGAAGCGCGGCTGCTCCTTCATTCGGTTCGTCCACTGGATGTTCGCGCGGCTGCTCGGCTCCGCCTTCTCACCGGTGATTGGCCGCCAGAACTGTAGCTCAGGAAAGGCACACAGGCGGCCAATCACCGGCGAGGAGGCGGAGCTGAGCGGCTCTGCGAAAATCGAGTGAAGGAGATGCAGGTAAGTGTGCGGTGCTTAGGCGCTGCTGCAACCACATATGCTGGCTGCAGCAGCACCATACTGGAACAGGGGTCAGCAAGTGTCAGTGGGAGGAATAGTGCCCCATCATTGGTGTCACTGATACCAATGATGGGGCATTATTCCTCCCACTGACACCAACGATGGGGCACTTTCCCCCCCCCCACTGACACCAACGATTCGGCACTATTCCTCCCCCCCCCACTGACACCAATGATGGGGCACTATTCCACCCCCCACT